AGGATTCATTTTGGTTCAGTTGAAGGTTAGGGCTCATTGTTGCATTCAAGGCGACGATGGGATTGGCAGTAATATTCTCAATATTTTTAACTCTGTCTTTAACGGATAAAAGGGCCACCTCTAAGGGGGATGAATTCTGTGCAGTTGGGCTTTGGGATCCAGTAGAGGTTTGTTCCAAGATAACAGCATTGGGTCCTAAGCTTAACTGGGCCTTACTCTGATTTATATGTCTAGAATCCTTAGCGTCTCCTTCTTCCGAGATCTGTGAGGATTTAGCTTCAGAAGAACTAGCTAAGAAATTTGGGTTTAATTTATCATTGCGAGTTCCAACAACAGTTTTGGATTGAACCGTTGCATTGACAGCTTTGAATTGAGATTTGGCATTCAATGCACCTGCCACTTTACCGTTGGCCTTAAATGCGTAGCTCCCATTGTGAACCGATTGGTTTGATGGACCAGATCGATGGTTTGGTTCACCATGATCTCTGTTTCCCTTGGTAGTTTTCTTCTCAACCGTCGACTTGGATTCCATTGCCGGCTTTTGCGAGCTTCTTTTCTTCCGTCGATCCACGATGAGCCATGGGCCATATTCATCAGGATGATTCAATTGACCTTGTGGTGGAATAACAATGTGTTGCGTGGAGGAAGATCCCTCTTTACCACTTAAAGTAGCCATTGCAGGGGTACTTGTATTAGATTTTGCCAAAGTGTCACTATTTAAATCTCCAGAACTTGGTGCTTCATTAATGCTTTGAAAATTCTTGGAACCAGTATCCATGTCACAGATCATAGAAGGAGGGGTGGTCTTAAATGTGCATTCCGATTTCCGGTGTCCTATTCTACCACAAGAAAAACAGAGGCCTCTAATACCTTCATAAGCAACCTTTTGTCGAATCTTTCCCAATCTTACAGTTTTGACCAAAGGCTTGTCTAAGTCTACGCGGACGCATATTCGGGCGTATTGGCCCCTGGTGTGATGAGCAGTGTGGGCATCCACTCTTAGGAGAGCTCCCACAGTGTTACCAATTTTGTGCAGAGAACAATGATCATAGTATTCTGATGGTAATCCAGGGAGTTGCGCCCAAGCCACCGTGTGAGAGAATGTGGCGTCTTCAGGTCTAAAATTTGGTTCCCATGGTCTAATTGTGAGATAGTAAGCTCCCACAAACCATGGCCCACCATTAATGACTTTGTCAAGATCCTCCTACACCTGAAACCGAACAAGAAAGAAGTCATGACCCAAATCAATACAATCCCACTTACCTGATGGTTTCCATTGAGCTTTAATACTAGCATATAGGAAATTATATCCCACTGTTTTGTCAAAGGTCTTGATGATCAGAGCTTTCTTCCATGGTTCTCGCATTCGGCGCTTATCTTCTCTAGAGAAAAGAACAATAGGAGCCGGGTCCTCTGGATCATCGTCAAAATCGGAATCCTCCTCAAGATAGTCCGGCATAGCATCAAAGGAGAGATTTTCATCAACATTACCCTCTATGCCATTAAGTAGAAGCTTATCCTTATAGGATAAATTCTGAGCATTGATATCGGTCATAACTTCCTCTGTAGCGGTAGATCTTGGAATCTCCTGTGAATTCTTGATCTTTTTAGTCGATCGAACAAGAAGGTCATTTTCCTGAACAGAAGGGAAAGTTAGGGAGAGAAAACCCGAAGACATCTTTTTCCTCTATTTCTTTTTCCTTTAATAGTGAAAAGGCGTTTTTACATAACACCTAGAAGGAAGGAAGAAAGTGCCAGTTCGAGATTTATGTCGTGTTTGGAGAAAATAAATGAAGTGGAGAGGATTTGAAGCAAAATTGGAAGGTAGAGACGGAACAAACAAACAGACCCTTATCAGGAGTTTAAAAACGGTTACATATTTTATCAGGCGGGGCCCCGATTCTTTTGGATGCGGGCCAGGTGTCCTTCGGATTCTCTGTTCTTATCCAACCCGTTTGAATCAAACGCTGCAATTTTCAGGGGAAAAAGCCAAAAGTTTCAATGGGCCCAAGATGATGGCCCGCATGGACCCCACCCCTACTTGACCATGCGCTCTGATCTTTGACAAATCATCAAATTAGAATCTGACGGCTCAGAGCCTTCATCTCTCAAAGAGTCCAGTGCAAATTTTCTCTTAAGTCACTTATTTTTATAAGAAAAAGTACTTAAGTCCTTAAACTTTTTTTTGACAAAATAAACCATTGGTCTTTGCAATTGATGCGTATAAATTAAAATTTCAAATTCATGTTTTAAAGTGCCCTTTTCACCCATCTGTTTTAAGCTCGACTGGATTACAAATTAAGAATAATGTTATTTAGCTTGACTTTTACATATTAAGGATGAGTTAAATGTTACGTGATATTAAATAACGAATAAAAAAAACTAATAAAAAACATTTAATTCTTTTTACTTATTTTATGTAACTTAAATAATATTTTTTTAATTTAATTTAGTTGTTAGAGCAAATGATACAAGATCCTATCTCTTATTAAGCATTACTGCATTGTATGGATGCCATTATGATCTTCCTACTTTAAAAGCAATAATTTTTTTATAATTTAATTAAATTTATATTATGGAATCTATTTGACAAATTTTTTTGAGTTACTTATCAACACTTTTCTCTCATAAATTTAAAAGTTTGAACTAAAACATTATTTTTTAGCATTTAAATACTTGTAAGTGGGTGTTAAAATATTTACCTCCTACAACTTTTCTAGTAACTATGCCAAACAAATTAATACTAGATTATTGTTTGAATTAAGTTGGTATTCATTGTAACTTTTAAAATTAGAGTTTAGGCTTAAGATTAGGGGCACTAAACTTTCCCAACAGATAAATACTCCTAACTTTTTTTTAGCTAATAAGTATGATAAGAAAGGATAAAAGTTATTTTTATACATAATAGAGATTTTTGAATTTCATTTACTTAGAGCATGTACATTGGATGCTCTGTTTGCTGTTCTTATTACAAAAAATAGAATAGAGCACAAACTCTAGCCACAATGGAGGGGAAACAGCGATCAAACTTGGTTCTCTGAACTTTTTTGCCTCTTTTAGGGTTAATTTTTTCAACTGGCTGATACAATGGTCAAATTATATCCAAGGAGCCATTTTTTCTGCCTTTAACTTTTAATTGTCATTTTTTTAAAAAAAATTTTCAGCTCTTGTCTTTTAGCTGGTCTTAGACCTAACAAACAAGTCAGGTTGGATGAGTTCGGATTGAGTCATATTAGATCTTGACTTATTTTGATTAAGTCATTTTGGGTATTAGATTAAAGGGTAGATCTATAACCCACCCACACAGATTTTGGACAAGGTTGGGTGGATTCAATTTTTAAAAAATTAAAATTAAAAATTTTCTATATTTTTCTCTAACAAAATCTAATATTAATTAATTATTTAATTAGAAAATTTTATTAAACGCTAATTTTCATTTCATTATTCAATTTTTATTCCAATCTCAAGAAAAGAAAAGGAAAAAATTACTGATTATAAAGATGGAACTAAAAGATATGCTAAATATATAATATTTATATAATATTTAAAATTTATAATTTCATATTAACTTTAATTAAAAAAAGAAATATAAAGGATTAAAGTTAAAAAAAAAATTCAATATATATATTAATATTTAGTGCCTATTCAATATTTATAAAGGTTTTATACAAAAATACAGTTTTATTCAATATTTAAAAGAGTCTTATACAAAAAATATAACCCTATTTAATATTAAAGTTCAAAAGGCAAATCAAAAATATATCTAAACAAATATAAAGAGGAATTGGGT